ACTTTGCTAGAAGCAAGGATGAGCAAGCAATTGACTTAGGGAAAAGTAACATTCTCTCCCATACAGCCATGGTTTTGGACAGTGACTAAGGTTTTGGACAGGTCCTGGAAGATCCTCAGCCGTGGAAGCTGCCTGGGTGGTTTTCAGCTGCTCATTCTCTCTCTGCTGAGTCCAGCTTAGCTCACGGTGTGCTTGTTTAGTGGAAAAAAGAGATGGAGTGCTAGGTAGACCCCCTTGAACCCTGGAAGAAAAGTAAGATAAAAATGTAATCATGAAATACCTACACGGAATTCTGCCATCGGCACCCTTATATCTGGCCCACAGCCTTTCCCCAAAGGCTGGGCCAGTGGAAATTCAAGGAGCTGTGGCCACCAGTCATCGGGGGCACCAAAGCTTCAGAAGGCTCTTGCAATACACACTGGGCTGGCTTGGGTGTGATCTGCAGCACTTGCTCATGACAAGCATCCAATTTAGCAGTTGAAGGCAAAATGCCTTGGATCTACCTGCAAGTGGGACATCGCAGGTAGGGTTCTGGGGTTCATCTGCAGATCAGTAGTGAACTTGGAAGGCTGTGAAAGTCCAGGGGGGGCTTCTCAGTTGAGGTTGTTGTCTCCTAAAAGACGTTATCCTTGAGGTGTTCAAGCAGGTAATTCCAATTAATCTCTTCTGCACCTGCCAGGTAATTCCCATCCTGTTGGCCTTTTTTTTACACCCTTGTGAAAATGCAGCTGCCACTTCCTACGTTGACTCCACGGTAATCCCATTAAGCTCAGCATTAGGAGTGCAGTTCCGTCTCTTGGCGTGTGTTTTAAACAGTTTAAAAAAAAAAATCAGGGAAAAAAGGTTACAAATATTCATAAGTGTAGTATCTTCAAACATATGGAGACTTGTACGCATCTTTCCCTGTTTTATGTAATTGTGAACATAAATCACTGAAGAAGAGTTTTTTAATGCAAATTATCCTGCTTCTGTTCCATTTCCGGACTGGTAAATTTCCCTGATGTAAGCTTCTTTAGCACAAACTTTCTCCTTCCAAGTTCTTTTTTAACCGTAAGTACTGCTGTGTGCACGCAGCTTTTATCAGGAGGCTAAGATGCTTTGGAGATACGTGGCATTTTGAAGGGCCAGCTACATAAATCCCCCTCCATCGGAAGCACGTTTTGCAAACTATAGGCCACCAGATGTTCTTTGATAGCAAAGTTGTGCTATATTTGTCCTCCGTGGGGGTCAGAAATTGATGGTTCCAGCTCAGATTTTTTTCCTTTTTTGGCTTATATGGGCTGGGATCAATACAAAATGATGTCGAAGAAGTATGACCAATTATATTAAGGAAAAGGTAAAATCTCCCTCGAATCAAGCTTGACTCCTGGTGATCTCCTGGACACATTCATGCAGGAGTTTTTTGGCAAGATTAGGAAAGTGTTGACCCTTTCTGTAGGCTAGACTTCCCGGTCTACCCTACAGCCCTGAGATTTCCTAGTGGTCTCCCATCCAAGCACTAACCTGATCTGATTTGTTTAGCTTTCTCAAGATCAACAAAAGAGACTGTGAGGAATCCCAAGTGTCACTAAAAGAGTTTTTATTTAGGTCCGATGCATTTCATCAAATGCGTTCCTTTTTCAAGGGTGCTGTGACCACAGAAGCAGTACAAAACCAGAGACAAACATAATTTGCAACCTACGCATCTCAAAAGTTCTAAATATGGGCAGTCTTGTATATTGAAAATATTTCAGGAAAAAGCTCAAGTTTTAAATATAAGCAAACAAATAGAGAGAGAGAGTAATAGAGAGATAAACATCCTTATATTTGTCTACTGAACTGACAAAAACAAGATTGTTGCTATAATGAACACAAGAATAATTATCAGCACGGGGCATTAACATTCTTAAACCATCTTGCCTAAGTTGGCTTCTAATGTGAAGGAAAACAGAAATGAAGAAGAAGAAGAAGAAGAAGAAAGACTCCCGCAAAGACGAAATAAGTCAGGAGGTTATTTTACCTAATGTTCTGCAAAACTGAAGGAAGTGTTTATTGTTTCAGGATCAGCCAAGATCAGCCAGCAAACAACCTGCCATCTGCTGTGACTTGTGCTATTCCCCTGGGAATCCACGGGGGTAAAAAAAAAAAAAAAAATCAAGATGGCAGCCACAGCTGTCTAATGTAAGCTCCACCCCCTTTTTATGCTAATTGTAGGCGGAGCTTCAATATGTGGCTCCAGCTGCCATCTTGATGTTTTGACCCACTTTTGTGGACGCTGCTGACGGGCACCCTAGGGGGAAAAGGTTTCCAACTACTAAATTCAGAGGAACTCTGGTCTCATATTGTGCTAATCTATTATCCAAATATGATCCATATATCCGTCCATCCATGT